AGCATGCGATGTGATGCCATTCAGAGAGACTCGGAACGTCCTGTTCGATAGATAGTTGTTAATCATCTACACTAGGAAGATTGGAAGACCGTAGTGCTGCAATTTGAACACCAGACCATCATGCCAGACATTGTCGAACGTTTTTTCAACGTCCAACAACGCCATGGCAGATGTTTTCGAAACAGACTTGTTCCGTCTGAGAATGTTTGTTACTCGAAAACCAAACTGTTCCTCAAGTAACAAGTTGTTTTCTTCGGCAGATGTTAGGAGCCGGTGGTAGACTGCTCATTCGAACAGTTTTGATAACCCTGAGAGAATGCTGATTGGTCGATAACTTGAAGGAGAGGACGGATCCTTCCCAGGTTTCCGGATGGGTATGACTTTAGCTGACTTCCAGCACGAGGGGAAGTAGCCAAGTCGGAGGCACAGATTAAAAATCAGTGCCAGATGGTTGTAGAATCTGGAACTCAAGAGAGATTCAGGATGATTTGATATAGGCCAACAGTTCGTCAGCCGAAATCTCAGATTCCTCGGTAAAAAATATTGGGAATCTGATGGAGGTTGGTTACGTTTTCAGCAACCTCAGCTTCGTGAGGGCTGATGATGTTTTGTCCGAGATTATGGGAGCTGACGAAGTGTTGACCTATCGCGGCTGCCTTCTCTTCAGGAGCTATCAGATGAACCGCCGTAACGATCCAGTGGGGTCAGTGGTGGAATAGGTCTTGGCTTATTTTTAATAATTTTGGTTAGTTTCCAAAAGGGCTTTGCACAATCTGGGAGAGAGCGGATCCTGTTAGCAAAGTCCTGATTTCTGAGGTCCATCATCCTGGCTTGGATGGTTTTTGTTAGGCGATTACAGTGGGTCTTAAGGACCGGCAGCCCAGAGCGTTGGTACTGCCTTCGGATGGTGTTACGGAGTCTTATAAGGTCTTTGGTAGATCTGTCAAGGTTCAGAGTATTGCTCACCTGTCTTGATACTGGCACGTGTTGTTCCCTGGTCCGGGATATCGCCTCCGTTTGAATGCAGACACCTGTCAACGTCTTCGGGCGTCTCCGGAAGGACACCGTAGTCGACAGTGGAGTCGACACAGTGTTGGAGCTGATCCCAGCTGACACGATGATAGTTGCCACCACCGGATAGTGTTGATAGTTTCCCATGTTGCTGACGTAAATGTCGATGATAGAGTGCACGCCGGACAGACTCAGCTGGGTGGGAGTGTCCGGCGCCAGGATGGTGTAGTGAGCCTCTTGCAGATCGTCGTTCAGGATGGTGCCGTTTTGATTCCGCCTTTCGTTGCCCCAAGCTTGATGTTTGGCGTTCAGGTCGCCAGCGATGATGAATTTACTACGGCGTCGTGTTATCTTGACAATATCCCTCCGCAGGTCTGCCGCGGATCGATCCCTGGCGTTTGCTTGTTTCGGGCAGTAGGCCCGCAATGATGGTGACGGTGGCGACGGGTGTTCCACTCCCAATGCTTCAACCATTTTTAGCTGGAAACTCGATAGCAGCCGGCAGCATATGTTGTTCCTGGTAGCGATGGCCACTCCACCATCCCCAGAGCTTGTCTGATCCAGCCTCACGAGCCGCAATCCAGGAACAAATACGTTCATCTCCGGTTTCAAGTATGTTTCGGTGATGATAGCTATGTCGATGCTATGTTCGTTGAGGAAGTCAACGAACTCGATAATTTTGCTCTTGAGCGAGCAAGCGTTCCAGTTTGCGATTTAGATGAGCTCACGGTCCATAACTGAGCATGAAGGTAGCCACAGCTTGGAGCTGGTCAGATTTGTTCTTGAAGGTGTTGGCAATGTCGTAATGATGATGAAGATGATCATTTGTTCCGCTGCGGTGACCCAAGAACCATCGTTGATTTCGGGCTGCGGTAAGGACGGGCCATCCTGACGCCAGTTTAGCCCAGGGACTGTAGAGCAGCAGTCGTCTGTTGACCTGAGTTTGCAAGGGCTCCGGCAGTTAGAGCTTGAGCAGCAGTAGCAGCGGTACGAGCAGCAGCCAATCGTTGATTGAGTGGCAGCGGTGGCAACACTGGAATCGGTCGTCGTGGAACCGGTGGGAAGTTCTGATCATTCATTTCCGGCACATTCTTGCGGCCGGGTTGGTTTCTTCCGGATCTCGATGTACTCGGTGCGCTTCGGGCAGGCCTTGCTTGTAGCTTTGTGAGCAGCACCGCAGTTGGCGCAAATGGGATCGGCTTCATCGAGTCTGTCGCAGGCGTCGGTTTTGTGTTGTTTGCCACACTTGATGCAGTGGCTGACCATATGGCAATTCTTCGTTCCATGCCCGAACAGCAGGCAGTTCGAGCATTGGGTGGCTCCACGGCTGACCGGCTTGTACCGCTCCCACTTCACCATTATGTTTAACAGGACGCGGATGCCCTGAAAGTCCATCAAAGTTGTTGAGTTCTTCACAAGGTGAACCAGGTATAGCTGGTCGCGGTACTTGACGGCCTTGTTGTGGCGGGGCATCTTGTGAATTTGGACCGGCTTCAGTCCATTAGCCACCAGTTCTTCCAAGAGGACGCCTGTGTCCATGTCGTATAGTCCTTGGACCACCTTGAACGGCTTAACAGCCTCGATGTCGTGGGAGAAATACTCCACCTGTGCTTGGTCTAGTATGGTCTGTAACGCCTTGTAATATTTCAACGCTGGAACCTTCAGTTTGTATCCTTTCGTGCACAGCTGGATGGTGCACCGGACACCCTGCGTGATGAAGAAGTTTATTTTTTCTCGCAGTCCAGGAGGGAAGCCCTTCACATAGAAGGGCGGCATTCTGTCCTTCTTCGGTGGTCCTGTTGTTTCCGTCATCGGTTCTGCACCGTCCTTCAGAACGGAGAACCGATTGTTGTCCAGCAGCTTCTTCGCGATTTTTTACCCATGGCTGGGTCACCGAGAGCGTCTCTATTCAACGCGAGAAAAAACGGAACAACGCAATCGAACGAACGAAGAGAGCGAAAAAAAAAAATTGTCGACTGTACTGCTCAACAGTCTGGCAGCGAATGCCTTACTAGCGCCACGTAGTGAGCGAGTTCTGAACTAATATGTAACCATTCAAAAGGACTTGGTTACCTGAACAAATTTGTTAAATACGCTAAATACAGTATCCTTCTATATGGCCAGGATTATGAGATTCAGCTTATACAGGAAGTTCATGTCCACAATAGCGCCGCGTAGTGAGTTCTGAACCAATATGTCCACCATCTGAAAGGACTTGGTAACCTGAACAGCTTTGCTCAAGACAGCAACTTTCGACATGGCCAGGATCACGAAATATACTATGTTGGACCCAAATGTCATATATTATGGCGCCCGTCATAAGGAATATGAAAGTGATGCGCCTCTAGTGGCGTAGTTCCCAATTAAACATATAGCCAATGGAACAAGCTTGTTTGTCTAACCCAGTACAACATTATATAGAAATTTATGAGATAATCCACCACAGCTCCTATTAGTAAAAATCTCATAAGCTGTAGATTGATTATCCTTATTCGTGGTTCCTTATTCACGCCCCCTATTGCTCGGTAATAAAGATTCCTGATTGTAATTTCCACATCCTTTTAATAAAAACAGTTTTGCAAAACTTTCCAGCATAGATTTTAAATTTAAATTGAATAAAACTGCGCGGAAGTAGGTGCAATGTTGAGCGGAATTACAAACATCGTCCAAATCAGTGCGAGGAATTATATGCACCGTCACAGCATTTTGCGAGGTAAATTTTGAAATTTTGGAACTAACTTTTACAAATCTGAAAATACAATAAAAAATCTATAAAATGATACATTTGACGGTAACTTTTCTCTTCTTCCCAAGTTTCTGTAGAGAGAAAGACTTCACTCTCGTGTTAAGGTGATACTCTAAGGAAGCCTTAGTAAAACAGCAAACAAGGAGTAGCAATTTCAAATTTGTATGTTTTGTGAAAGCTGACATTTGTGCCTTTAAAGTTTCACGCTAAGGCTTCCTTAGAGTATCAGCTTAAGTGCGTGAAATAACCCATCTTTACGGTAATAAAGTATTAAAAAATAAACTTTTTTTTATTTCGACCTTTTGTCTTTCGACTTTTTGTCCTTCGGGTATTGTTCTACAACCAAATTAAATCTAAATTTAAATAGGCCTGTTGCCGTACTTGCTTTTCTGTAAGATTCTGTACAGCAAAAAGCAAAAGTATGTTCCCGTACTTTCTGCTCCATATTATTTTCTTACAGCAACTTAGAGAATCTACAGTAACTTACAGTAAAAGCAAAAAAGCAAGTACGGGGATAGACACTTATCACTATTTGTGCAAACATCGTAAAACGATCTTGTTCAATCTATTCTAATCTAATCTAATCTAATCTAATCTAACACCAACACAGCCAGTTCTTGAAAGCATCCTGGAAAATGATGGATAGTCATCATTTTCCTTGTCTAGTTGATATATGTTTCACACATACCAAAACGGCCAGGCCTACTGTGCGGCATTCAAGGTGCAAGATGATTAAGAAAACACGATGCGTCAGACTCTCGTCGTCTTTCAATTTTTTTAATCGACCATGTAGAGCATGTTTTGGATTAGGCTCCCCCTAACGGACTCAATCAATCTATCCATCATTATTCGTTTATATTGAAAGCACCCTTTTAACTTAATACGTATTTGATGTTATAATCAAATATACATGGTACTATCCCATCCCCAGGAAACGTTTCCAATCTCGGCTATCAGCTAATAAATCCAATCCATCCACATCGTCCACTCACTTGGAGAACCCTTTTGCCAAATCCAGCCCAGACTGAATTTAACATTAGCACCACCACCAGCACCACCTCAACCAATCACAAGATTAATGGCCACTGAACGGCGTCTATTCTCCCCTTTAGGTATAATACACATTACATTAAACAGCTTAGTTCTTATCAATTCTGTCACACTCACATGCGCTCGTTCCCCGGTTCAGTTTATTATTGCCGACAGCATTATGATGCTCTTTTCCAGTTCAGAACAGTTCAACAACGCGTCCGGTTCGGTTCGCTTTACGATGTTGCGACCTGCTGTGCTCCTCCTGGTCACCATCGTCGTGGTGGGACAAGCGTTTGGCGGCGGAATTCTGATCGGTAAACGGAATGTGCTCTACCCGCTGACGGTAGTCCATTGGAACGATTTCCACGCACGGTTCGAGGAAACCAATGTCCTGTCGACGAGATGCAACGTGGCCGAAGGGGAACGGTGTATCGGAGGCTATGCGAGGGTGGTGTCGGCGGTGCGGAGTTTGAGCGAGCAGTACAAGGAGCAGAACCCGGTGTATTTGAATGCTGGGGATAACTTTCAGGGGACATTCTGGTACACTTTGCTGAGATGGAATGTGACGAGCTATTTTCTGAACTTGCTTCCGGCGGATGCGGTGACCCTGGGAAATCATGAGTTTGATCATGGGATTGCAGGAGTTGTACCGTTTATGGAAACGCTCAAGTCTCCGATCGTGGTGGCCAATATCGATGATAGCCAGGAACCGACGATGCAGGGGAAGTATCAGAAATCGGTAGTGATCGAGCGCGATGGAAGAAAGATTGGCGTTATCGGTGTGATTCATCATTTGACGGATACGTTGAGTATGACGGAGCGGTTGAAGTTTCTGGATGAAATTGAGGCGATAAATGGCGAGGCGGAGAAGCTGAAAACGAGTGGAGTGAATATTATTGTGGTTCTGTCGCACTGTGGGATCACTATTGATAAGAAGATCGCCGCTCAGTGTGGAGATGTGGATATAGTAGTAGGCGGTCATTCGCATACTTTTCTGTACAATGGATCGGCCGAAGGGTTGCCGGATGTTCCAGAGGATTCGTATCCGGTGGTGGTGGAGCAGACCAGTGGACGGAAAGTATTGGTTGTGCAAGCTTCGAGTTTTACCAAGGTGGTTGGTCGTTTGACAGCCTATTTTGATGACGCCGGAAATCTGATGGAGTGGGAAGGCAATCCGATTTATTTGGATGAGTCGGTTCTCAAGGATCCGCAGATTTTGCATGAGCTGGTACCGTGGCGAGAACAGGTTGATCACCTAGCCTACAGACCAGTGGGATCATCACGGGTTGTGCTGTCGAAGGCAGAGTGCCGAACTGGAGAGTGCAATTTCGGAAGCTTCGTGGCAGATGCTTTTGTGGATTACTACACGCAGCGACCTGAGAGTTCGAATGAGTGGACCTACGCCTCGATCGGTATCACTAACGACGGAGGAATGCGAACTTCTTTAAAGAGTGGATCCTTGACGTACGACGACATTGTGACGGCTGTTCCATACGAGAACACAGTGGATACATTTGAAATACGCGGGCAGTATTTACTGGAAGCTTTGGAATACAGTGCAAGCCGATTCAACTCAGCTGATGTCCTACAAGTGTCCGGCATTCGAGTCATCTACAACGCCACAAAACCAGCGGGACATCGTGTAGTTTTGGCAGAAATTCGTTGCCGTGAGTGCAAAGTGCCCATATACGAGCCCCTCGATCTGAACAAACATTATCGCGTTGCCATAGCCGCCTGGATTGGTAGCGGTGGCAACGGGTATTCGATGTTTGGCGAGCATCGCACCAACGTTCGCGTTGGACCTCTCGACATCGTGGTGCTAGAGCAGTACGTTGCTAAGATGAGTCCAATAATGCAGGGGACGGACGGTCGGATCCGTGTCATAAAATAAAATTTAATCTTATTGCCCTAATCTTCAGCGAGCAAAAAATTGTATTTTTAGATGTTGATTTTCCAAGCTGAGTAAAATGCACCGCACATGGCCGATTAAACCAACTCAAATTTGAACATCGTTCACTCAAATTCTCTCTAAAAAAAGTTGGTTACTCATAGACTAAGTGAAATTTTACGAAGAGGTTTCAATATTAGTATACTAGTAGACTCAGTCTATAGAGTAACCTACGTTTTTGCAATTGTGAGTGAAAAACCACTCAATTCCGAGTTGATCTCATCGGCCGTGCAGAAGCGAAGCGAAGAAAGTTTTCTCCTGTTTTTCTCCCTTAGCAACCAAAGGTCAGAAAGAAAGTTTCCCCAACACGCCTGCTTTGATGACGAAGTTAATCTCGCTGGTTTATCACTATTATAGGGGATTCCTGTTTGCCCGCCTTCGCCGTCATCGTCGTTAGCGTCGTTACGAGATAAAAAAAACGGCTCCCATAGCGACGCAGGGCAATGGAACAACCGGCATATGACGGAAATTTGCGGATCAATGAATCTATCAAATTTCCATCATCGGAAGCAAATTAAAGTTCAATCAACCTTCGTCGTATCTTTCTTGTTGCCGTTTGTTTCACTGCTTTTCGCGCTTTTCTGGGTGCCTTATACATACCCCTGTGTGTCGACCGCCTGAGCTAGATTGTAATAAACTAATTGATTTTGCTACAAAGTTGCGGGTTGAAGCGAATATGCACGACATTCCGCTAGAAGCCATTTGTTTTTCCTCGGGCGGCACGGCGCGGCTCGGCACGGTTCAGTAGGTGGTCCTTTGATTTTCGTTTCCTTCTTCCTGGAAGTGTGCTGCAGCATTCTGATTTCTATACAGCTGCGATGGCGGAACCGTTTGACGTTTGCCATCCCACGGTTAATTAGATTAATGACAAAATTAATTAGCGAGGCGTTCGTCTAATGAGCTGTAAAGTAACTGGGTGACGAATTGGGGCTAAACATTGATTTAAAATTGGATAAGCTACTCTGGCAAAATGCAGTTCAAGGGTGAAAGAGTTGAACAAGGTCAGGAAAGTCAACTGTTCATGTGTGCATTGTAGGTCCGATTTTTATAACTTGTCCATGGTGTCAACTACCTTCAAAACCCTGGAAAATCAGAGAATATCAAGGAATTCAATTTATATCCTGGAAACTTAGGGAATTTCTGTAAATTCAGGGAAACATTTATCAGCCCATATTATTAACTGCATTAACACTCCGAACACGATGCCTCCGGTAAAATGTGTAACGGCAAATTGGGAATGATTGAAAAATTATTGCTCTGTAGTTAGATTTTAAATTTTTAAAGTATGTAGTTTCAAATGGCGCCAACTAGATTAGAAATTCGCCAATAAATGGCTGAGCTATGATTTTTCAAACATTGCAAGTTTGCCGTTACACATTTTACTGGAGGCATCGTGTTCGAAGTGTTAAAAACTATAATGAAATCATCAACCATGTGAAACAATGAATTGTTTCAGAAGCCTTAGACTTGAACAATTTAAATCCAGGGAAGCAACACTTTTTAAAGATCCAAAACATTGACAACTTCTTCAAGCTTTTGAGACGTATTTCTGTTTCAAGGATTCGTACTTAATAATATTTTGAAGATTGCGGACTTGCGGAAAAATCCAATACTTGAATAACAAGATTCTGGATCATTTGAGTTTCTACAAACTTCTGACTTACACATATTTTTTAGTATTCTAAACCTTAAAGATTTGCAAGGTTTCGTACTGATGAATTATGAAGTTTGAATTTATTTTTTTTTTAGACTTTATAAAAAAAACCATGGTAATGAGTAGCATTGGAAAGTTCGTGATATTTCACGAAGTTCGCCGAGGGGAAAGTTTGCGAGTCATGGTGAGTTTTCGTGAACTTTTCCAACACTGGTTGTGAAAATGCTCTCAATTAATAACTCTGGAACTGCATCTAGAACAGTACGTTGAGATCCCGCAAAACGCTTGCTACAGAAGCGCACAAGCCTAGAAGAAGACGAAGGAGTCATAGATAAACAGATGTGCGTCTTTCCTTTCATGGTACGCAAATCTTCCGTCTGAACATCAAATGTTGCATGCAACATCGTTTGAAAGTCGTTCCTGAATAGCTGTATTGTATTTCGCCAAAATCAAAAATCATCCAACCATGTCTAGTGCCAAAATTTGTTCTCGCTCGCATGCACCTAGGGATTTATTCCAGCAAAGCAGTACGACACGTTCTTTTTTTGTTAAAGAAAATGATGGAAATTTGTTCTTTCTTTTCTTTTTCCCTTTTGCAATCAGTGCACAGCAGAAGACTACCACCCATCCAAAGCCGGTCTGTGCAGTGCTGGGATGTCTAGCCCAGAGGTGAACTGAAATCTCAGAAGTGATAGAGACAAGGATAAAAAAAATAATAATGTCGGAGTCTTCATAGTATGTCACCCTACCACCGATCGCCCGAATCTAAGCTCCCGCCACGTTTTCTGTGATAACAGCGACCGATTCCATGAAAGCAGATGATTTTCGAAAGAGAAGAGAGAGCAAGCACCGAATGGTAAACAAAGAGAATTTGAGAAAGAGAGATACCACTCTCTGCCTACATCAGCGTTTTCTCTCGCATGCTTTCTCCAAAATGCACAACGGAGGAGAGGCACTTTCTATTTTGATGTTTCTTTCTTCAGCTAGTGTAAAATGCGGTAAGATGCACCCCCGGGGTAAAATGACTTTTTTTGGGTTTAAAATACATTTTTATCTCTTTTTCGAGGAAAATTGCTAGGTCATTGTCCAAACTAGCAAGTCTGCATAATAAATCCACGCAAATATAGAAAATGCTTTAAATTTGCCAACATTCATCTTGTCTCGGGGGTGCATCTTACCCCATCTTACCCTACCACCCAGCCATTCCTCGTGGCTCGCGGCTAACGGTGACTGAAGCCAAAGCGCGTGCGGTACCGATTGATCACCCGTTTGCGATGGGTTGGGTAGGGTAGCCAAGCTTTTGTTGCGCTTTGTGGGGAGTTGCGTTAAAAAGTAATAATAGATTTGCTATCTAGATATGTATTCCAGTTTGTTGTGAGTCTGTTAATAGATTCTTTAACTAAGCTTCAATACGCAATATGGCATGTCGAACGAACAATTTGAATTCCTGGATATAAATAAATTTAGGAAAGGGATGAGAATCAACAGTTAAAGTTTATTTAGATTACCTTTTTTAAATAAAATTATGAACAAAATCTTCGACCGTTATTCCCTGTTCTGTCGCACATTTCTTTAGTATGCAATGCTTTATTCAAATTAAAACTATTTTTTTATTGCTGTTAGTCGTTTACTACTGTGTTAACGTACTTTACGTTGTATCTGTGGGATTAGAACCATTAACAATTGGGTTCTTTAATTTTGAAAAATATATCTGTTTTTATATATCATCTGAAAGAGCTACGTTTTCTGAGCACAACGATATTTTTTTCGAATCCACACACTTTCATCTTGATTTTTAAATCAAGATTTAAAGCAAAATAATAACTTCACTGTTTGACACTAAACTGACAAACTGACAGCTCGCTTCCATACAAAGTGACACCGAGGGGCGGTAATAAGGTGATTTTTGCAAATGTAATCATACTTATTTAAAATAGTTCCAGTGTACCAAAATGGATGAAATTTTTGGTTTGGGTTCCATTTTTAATGCAGATTACGAATATGCATTTAACTTAATACCCTTGAAGAACCCAATTCTCAATGCAATTCATTCTGCTTTTATTTTTCAAGGAGATTAAATGATTTTTTTCGTCGTACTAGATAATATTCTGTGTTTAACATCGCGGAATGCAATCTGCAACTGCAAACGTAATGTTTTTTCATGAAGTGGTCCTTGAAAAAAAAACAGCTGCAATTTTCCCTACTTCATGTTCTAAATTTATAAGGGATATAAGAATTGCAACGCAATTTTGTTTAGTCATTCGTGTGATTTCAGTGACCGTGACCTGCGGTATGTTTAAAAAAAATATAAAATCAGACCTACGTTTGTCAGAAAACAGACAGACCTAATCCTCATATCCGATCAAGGTTGGAACTGAATCAAAAACATTGCTTGGATTGATGAGAATAAGTTAATTACTCTGATTTATTTATTCATGTATTAATTTTTGTTTGTACAAATAAATAAATACGCCTATACATACTAAAAATAAATTCGTAGTCGATTGAAGGTTGTTTTTATCAAAAAACCAATAAAAAAGAGATAAAAATAAAAAAAAAAGAACAAGAAAAAATAACCAAAAAAATTAATAATTACAATACATATACAAATAAATACATATACAAATAAATACAAATACAAATAAATACATATTCAAATAAATACATATACAAATAAGCGCTTGCGTTAGCGTTGTTATGATATACTTCGTAGATTGGATACTACACGCAAACCAAAAATCTATTACAATGAAAGTTAGTTCCGTTTCCTATCATCCTCTGTTCATGAACATCGCAACGAATGTTAGAGATTGACCATGCAAGCGATGTAATGGCTTTTTGTCTTTTTTATTTCGTGTTCTATCTACGCTTTCGACTATACCAGTAAGCTTGTAGAACGACGCACATTGTAGAACATTGTAGAACGACACACACACTTGCCTCGAATCTCTCCAGCAGAAAAAGCATACGAAGTCGAGTATGCTAGAAAATAACGCTTCATGTTTGCTTTTAGGCTATCCATATTCAGAAGCATGGAGAGAGCAGTAGAGAAAGCACAGGTCTGATAATCGAAACGTTCGTGGTTCGAGTCCAGTCGGCAATCTGAATCCTATTTTTTTTTCGACATAACTAATTTACCTCACTAATACACTCTACATTTTTCGGTCTCCAATTTTCTTGCATTGGACCGCAGCTAGGTATATCGCATCCTCGGTTCATGCGGTCTCCACTAACATCCTCTGATGATGAATCCCACATAATTGTAAGCGAATCTTACATCTACACCCAACCGGTAGCGACACTCACGTCTCTTCTGAAATTCTCAGTTAGACTACTTTCAGGAATAATGCTGGGGAGTAAACATTGGTTCCAATCTAAACAAGAGTAACAGAAGCATGACAGTCGCTATT